TTGGTAGGTAGTCAACCTGCTTGCTGCCGATGCGATGCGGTCAGGCGGCAGCCGCCAGCGGTGAGGGCTCCGGAGAACAGGGCTGGACCCAAGAGCTGTTTTGCTGGACTTCGGCTGTGTTTCGTGTTCCATTTTGGCGAGGAGGTGCAGGACAACAGGTAGAGCAAAACGGTCGAGCAAAACGAAAACAACACGAAAAACAACGTGTCGGTCCAGCCCTGCCGGAGAACCTGGCGCACATCCCCGCGGGGAAGTGTTCGGGAATCCTGTGGTCAGGGCTGCAGCGCTGGAGCAAGTGTGCAGTCCCCTGTGCCCGGAACCAGCTACGGAGGGGGGACCCTCTGACCTTCACGATGCCTTGGAGCGCAAAGCTACATCCCCGCTCTCTTCCTTCTGTATTCCTGGCCTCTTTAGCGGCACCACCTTGGCCCCTAGCATGTGAGTTCAGGGCCCCCGAGCCCGAGGGGACGAAAGGGAGGATGAGAACGACGATTCGGAGCAGAGGAGGAGGAGGAGGAGGAAGACACGCGGCGGCCAACCGCAACAACCTCATGCTCGGCCTCCTCCCCGTGAGTCCTCTCCTCCTCTGTCGCCGTCGTCCCGGTCTCCTCGTCCCCCTCCTCCCGATCGTTGCCCTCGTCTTCCTCGTCGGCGTCTCTGCTCATCGCGCTCTTCACGCTTCTCCTTCCAGTGGTCATCGTGTTCCTCATGTTCCCCCTCCTCCTTCCTCTCCTCTCCTGTTCCTCCTCCTCCTCCCCATCCTCCTCCTCCTCCTCCTCCTCCTCCTCCTCCTCCTCCTCCTCCTCCTCCTCCTCCTCCTCCTCCAGTCCTCCTCCTCCTCCTCCATTTATTCTCCTTCGCTCTCCTGTCTCATGCCTGTCGGCCGCTTCCATTTACCCACGAGGCCCACGGATGCAGGAGCGTCACCCTTCTGATGCTGAGCACGCTCTCGTATGCACGCAGCTCGCGCCTCGGGAGCTGCAGAGACGGAGTGCTCTTGTGGTTTGCCCCGCTTGCCCGTGGCTGCCGAACGTTGCGTCGTGTTGTAGACGGCTGGAACGGAGCTGCACCAAAAGTGGCGATTGGCATCGCGCCGCTCATGTGAAGGTGCAACAACGGTTCTTGGTTTCAGCACGGCGGTGCATCATCCTCATCGCCATTGCCTCATATAGTTTCCTCCCTCCTCCTCCGCCCTTCTCCTTCTTCTTCTTCTCCTCCTCCTCCTCCTCCTCCCCCTCCGCCTCCTCCTCCTCTTCCTCCCCCTCCTCCCCAGATCTCCGACGTCGTTTCTTTTTTTCACAGCGAGGATCTCGGGACCCCTTCTCCGGGACTGGCGTTTCATCCCGAGTCGCTGTTTGACGGCCCCAGGGCCCGGGAAGGGCCCCTCGGGATCGAAAGTTGTCAAACATGTAAGCCAGAACGCGAGCACGTTTGGGTCCCCCCCCCCCCGCAAAGTCCCTGCTCGTTCCTCCAGCGATTTCCGCCCTCGCCTTCTCATCCTCCTCCTCTCCTCTCCTCCTCCTCCTCCTCCTTTTCCTCCTCGAATCTCCTCCTCAATCCTCTTCCTCCTCCTCCTCCTCCTCCTCCTCCTCCCCCCTCCTCCTCCTCCTCCTCCACCTCCTCCACCGCCTCTTTTTCTTCTTCTACTTCTTATATTATTAATCTTATCCTTCTCCTCTTCTCCGCCGCCTCCTCCTCCCCCCCCCTCCTCTTCCTCCTTCTTCTCTGCATACTCCTCCTCCACCTCCTCCTTCTATCCCTTCTCCTCCTCCGCCTCCTCCTCCTTCTCCTCCTTCTCTTCCTCCTCCTCCTCCCTTTTCGCCTCCTCCTCCTCAATTTCTTCCTCCCTTTCCTCCTCCTCCTCCTCTCTCATCATCATCATCATCATCATCACCATCATCATCATCATCCTCATCATCATCATCATCATCATCATCATCATGATCATCATCAACAACATCAACATCGGTAGCATCATGATCATCATCACCATCATCAGCATCATCACCCTCAGCAGCCGCATCATCATCAGCATCACCAGAATCAGTATCATCATCATCAGCAGCATCATCATCGTCCTCGTCCCCCTCCCCCTCCTCCTCCTCCTTCTTCCTCCCTCCTGCTCCTCCTCCTCCTCCTCCTCCTCCTCCTCCTCCTCCTCCTCCTCCCCCTCCTCCATCCTTCTTCTCCTCGTTCTCCTCCCATCCTCAACCCATCCTTCTTCCCTCCCTGCTCCTCCTCCTCCTCCTCCTCTACCCTCGTCCTCCTCCTCCGCCTCCGCCTCCTCCTCCTCCGCCTCCCCCACCTCCTCCCCCTCCCCCTCTGTCTCCTCCTCCCTCCTCCCTCCTCCTCCTCGCCTCCTCCTGCTCACCCGAAGCCTCCTCCTCCCCCCCGCCCTCGCGCCTCCTCCTCCTCCTCCCTCTTCCTCCCTCTCCTCCTCCTCTCCTTCTCCTTCTTCTCCTCCTGCTTCCTCGTTCCTCCTCCTCCTCCCCTCCCTCCTCCACCTCCTCCTTATCCTCCTTTCTCCCTTCCTCTACCCCCTCCTCCTCATCCTCGTCCTTCGCATCCTCATCCTCCCTGCCTCTTCCTCCTCATCCTCGTCCTCCTCACCCTCCTCCTCTTCCTCCTCCTCCTCGTCCTCCTCCTCAGTCTCCCTGTTCTCGTCCTCCTTCTCTTCCTCCTCCTCTTCTTCCTCCTCATCGTGGTCCTCCTCCACCTCCTCCTACCGCCCCATACTCTCCTCCTCCTTCTCCTGCCTCCTCCTCCTCATCCTCCTCCTCGTCCTCCTCCCCCGTCCGTCTCCTCCTCCCCTCCTCCTCTCCTCCACTCCTCCTCCTCCTCCTCCTCCTCCTCCTCCTCTCCTCCCCCCCCCCCCTCCTCCTGCTCCTGTCTCCTCCTGCACCTCCTCCGCCTCCTCCTCCTCCTCTTCCCCCCTCCCCCCCATCCTCCTCCTCCTCCTCCGCCTCCTCCTCCTCCCTCCCTCCTCCTGCTCCCCCTCCTCCTCATCCTCCTCATCCTCCTCCTCCTTCATTCCTTCTCCTCATAAATATGTTCTCTCTGCCGCACCCCGAGGCCAGCTTCTAGTGCGGGCCGGGCGCGTCGCCTGAGAATTTCTCACCATTTACCACCCTGAAGCTTAACAGTTGACAAGCGTTTCACAAGTGGAGGCCAGGTGGCTTTCAAAGTTTGGCTCTCGCTTTGGCGCCGCGCACATTCGTCGTCAACATTTGCAAGTGCTTTACGGCTTGAGGGCGGGTGGTTTTCAAAATGTGGTTCTCGCTTTAGCGCCGCGCACATTCGTTTCCAACATTTGCAAGAGTTTGACGGATTGAGAGCGGGTGGTTTTCAAAATGTGGTTGTCGCCTTAGCGCCGCGCACATTCGTCTCTAATATTGGTAAGAGCTTGACGAATTGAGGGCGGGTCGTTTTCAAGATGTGGTTTTCGCCTTAGCGCCGCGCACATTCGTTTCAAATATTTGCAAGAGTTTCACGGATTTAGGACGGGCCGTTTTCAACATGTGGCTGTCGCGTTAGCGTCGCGCACATTCGCGTTTTAATAATATGGAAGCGTTTCACGGATTGAGGGGGGGTCCTTTTCAAACTTTGATTCTCGCTATAGCGCCGCGCACATTCGTATTGAACATTAGCAAGAGTTTCACGGATTGAGGGCGGTTCCTTTTCAAAATGTGGTTCTCGCCTCTGCGCCGCGCACATTCTTGTTAAACGGTGCAACATCTTCACGGGTGCCCATGATCGACGTACAAGAATAGGGTTTTGGAAGGATTGGCGATTGTGAGGGCGCAACAGTTATGATGATTCGCGGAGTTCAGGTCCCAGGAATGGCGTTCCGGCACGATTCAGGATCGTCAAGACGCAACAGTCAGTCCGAGAGTAATGTTTTGGCATGCCTAGGGTATTCAAACGGTTGTCTTCCAACGAGGCAGGTCCCTCTGTGGACATGAACCGCTGTAGGGGCCTGTGAAGAGGGAGCTTGGGGGGAGGGTGTATTCCAACATCGGGGGTGACCCTTGGGTTTGCACTGGTTCGTCCTCCTCGCCCTCCTCATCACCATCATCATCACGATCACCATCACCACCCTCATCACCACACCATCCGATTCCTTTCACACTTGTCAACGTGCCAAGGCGCCGCCCCGTGGCCGTCCTGAGGATTGAGGATGCACCCCTTCTCTACGGCCCTACGGCCGATGAAGCAGGAGTGGTGCCGAAGAAGGACGCAGTCGGGGGTGGACAGACCTCCTACCCTGACACGTCGATTAGTGAATTGTCCGTTTTCGGTCCTCGAGAGGGCGCCGCGGCCGTTATTTTCCAGGCTTGCGCCCCCCAGGTTTGGGCCCGAGGTCGTTTTCACTAAACCACGTTTTACTCTGTCCATCCCCGAAGCAGGGCGCGAGCAAAACGTTGTTCTGCGAATGTCGGGTGCCCCCTTCGTTTCCCCGTCTTGTTTTTGGGCGCCAGCACGCGGCAGTTTTGTTTTCGTTTTCGCGGACGACGGTCTGGAAGAAGACGGGTTGTGCTGGGGGTCATGGCGCCGTTTTTGCTTGCTCCACCGTTTGAAACGAAGCGGTGCTCAAAACAAGAACGACGTTTGGCTCACGCCCCTGGAAGGAAGCCCCCTCTCCTTCACTAGCAGCCCTCGTACGCCCATGTTGAAACGCAGCACGAGCCGTGCCTCAACACGCCTGTGCCTCACACGCTGCGTGCTTGATCGGCACGTGCCGGCCCAACTCTTTTGGCGAGGCGATCGCGTCCCGCCTGCGTCTTCGGTCTGCGCGCTGAGCCCCGGTCCCAAACACGCCGCGTGCTGCGCGCGGCGCAGCAGGGCAGCGAAGCCCCTCCCCGCGAGAGGCCCACGTCCTCTTCCAGCACCGCCCCTCCCCTCGAGAAGCCCCTCCCCTCGAGAAGCCCCTCTTCTCGAGAGGCCAGAGCCCCTCCCCTCGAGAAGCCCCTCCCCTCCCCTCGAGAAGCCCCTCCCCTCATGAGGCCAGAGCGACGTGGCGGCCCACGTCCTCTTCCAGCACCGCCACTTCCTGGCCGACGGCAGCGACGCCGCGCCGCGGGCGGCGCCACAGCTGCCGGCCGCCCCCGGGGGCCTCAGAAGCAGAGCCCCTTCCAAGAGTCAGCACGGACCTCCTCCTCCTCCTCCTCCTCCTCCTCCTCCCCTCCTCCTCCCCCTCCTCCCCCTCCTCCTCCTCCTCCTCCTCCTCCTCTCCTCCTCCTCCTCCTCCTCCTCTCCTCCTCCTCCTCCTCCTCCTCCTCCTCCTCCTCCTCCTCCTCCTCCAGGGCTGCCACGAGCGGGCGGCAGGGGCGGGCGCCTCCTCACGGAGTTAGCAGAGTCAGCACGGACCTCCTCCTCCAAGCCAAATGCCCGACGAGCTGGGGCGTTCCAAAAAAAGGGCCTCGCCTTCGAGGGCCGAAGGAGTTGGCATCTCTTCCTCGGCGGACGGCGGCGGAAGGTCGGCGGAAGGCGGCGGGAGTAAGACGGCGGCGGCTCCGCTGGCGGGAGCTCGGCGGAAGCCAGCAGAAGTAAAGTTCGACCCCCCAAGAGATGAACATGTTTTTTGGGTTCAGGCACCCCAGAATCTACCATACGAGTACGAAGGCCTTACGGCCGGTGCCGCCGACCCTGCAGGGGACGACGACAACGGCGGCGGCTGCAGCGACGGCGACGCTGACGTAAGAGGGATATTTGCCGGGGTCTCTTCGGAAGGCTCTCGGCCCTCCTCCTCCAAGCCAGATACCCGACGATCTGATTTTGTCGTTCGTTTTGTTTTGTTCCTCGATTTCGGCCCTCTGGGGCCGTGCTCCGTCCCAGGGGCATCAGGGCATCAGGCATGAATCTGGGACGAACAACTAGCCTGGCGAAGGACCCAACCGTATGCTGTTGTGAGTACCGTCGTTGTATGCACCGCATTCGGAGGAGCTTCCTATAGGGCCACGAAGCGTGTGAGGGGTGTGCCAAAATTTGTCCGGTGGGCGCATGCGAACGCAGCCACTGGGGCCGTCGGTGGAATTCCATATGGGGTGGGCCGAAATAGGTGTGGTGGGCGCATGAGAACGCAGCCATTGGGGCCGTCGGTGGAGCTCCCTATGATGCCGCGAAACGTGTGATGGGTGTGCCGAAACGGGTGCGGTGTGCGCATGCGAACGCAGCCACTGGCGCCTTCGGTGGAACTTCCAGGTGGGCCACGAAACGTGCGAAGGGTCTGCCGAAATGAGTGTGCGTGACGCATGCGGGCGGTGGCACTGGGGCCTTCGGTGGAGCCCCCAATGGGGCCACGAAACGTGTGCGGGGTGTGCCGAAATGGGTGTGCATGACGCATGCGGGCGTTGGCACTGGGGCCTTCGGTGGAGCCCCCAATGTGGCCACAAAACGTGTGAGGGGTGTGTCGACATGGGCGTGCGTGACGCATGCGGGCGGTGGCACTGGGATGTTCGGTGGAGCTCCCTATGGGGCCACGGAAGCGTGTGAGGGGTGTGCCGAAATGGGTGTACATGACGCATGCGGGCGGTGGCACTGGGGCCTTCCGTGGAGCCACCAATTGGGGCAACGAAACGTGTGAGGAGTGCGCCCAGAGGGGTGTGCGTGACGCATGCGGGCGTTGGCACTGGGGCTTTTGGTGGAGCTCCCTGTGGGGCCATGAAACGGGCGAGGGGTGTGCCGAAATGAGTGTGCGTGACGCATGCGGGGTGTGGCACTAGGGCCTTCGGTGGAGCTCCCTAGAAGGCCACGAAACGTGTGAGGGGTTTGCCGACATGAGCGTGCGTGACGCATGCGGGCGGTGGCACTGGGGCCTTCGGTGGAGCTCCCTATGGGGTCACGCGGGGCTCCCTGTGGGGCCATGAAGCGCGTGAGGGGTGTGCCGAAATGGGCGTGCGTGACGCTTGCGGGCGGTGCTACTGGAACCTTCGGTGGAGCTCCCTATCACGAAACGTGTGAGGGGTGTGTCGACATGAGCGTGCGTGGCGCATGCGGGCGGTGGCACTGGGGCCTTGGGTGGCGCTCCCTGTGGGGCCACGAAGCGTGTGAGGGGTGTGCCGAAATCGGTGTGCGTGACGCATGCGGGGGGTGGCATTGGGGCCTTCGGTGGAACTCCCTAAGGGGCCTTCGGTGGCGCATGCGGGCGTTGGCACTGGGGCTTTTGGTGGAGCTCCCTGTGGGGCCATGAAACGGGTGAGGGGTGTGCCGAAATGAGTGTGCGTGATGCATGCCGGCAGTGGCACTGGGGCCTTCGGTGGAGCTCCCTGTGGGGCCACGAAACGTGCGAAGGGTCTGTCGGAATGGGTGTGCGTGACGCATGCGGGCGGTGGCACTGGGGCCTTCGGTGGAGCCCCCTATGGGGCCACGAAACGTGTGAGGGGTGTGCTGAAATCGATGTGCGTGACGCATGCGGGCGGTGGCACTGGGGCCGTCGGTGAAGCTACCTGCCAGGCCACGACACGTTTGAGAGGGTTGCCGAAATGGGTGTGCATGACGCATGCGGGCGGTGCTACTGGAACCTTCGGTGGAGCCACTTATGGGGCCACGAAGCGTGTGAGGAGTGCGCCGAGAGGGGTGTGCGGGACGCATGCGGGCGGTGGCACTGGGGCCTTCGGTGGAGCTCCCTGTGGGGCCATGAAATTGGTGAGGGGTGTGCCGAAATGGGTGTGCATGACGCATGCGGGCGGTGGCACTGGGGCCTTCGGTGGAGCTCCCTATGGGGCCACGAAGCGTGCGAAGGGTCTGTCGGAATGGGTGTGCGTGACGCATGCGGGCGGTGGCACTGGGGCCTTCGGTGGAGCTCCCTATGAGGTCACGTGGAGCTCCCTGCGGGGTCACGAAGCGCGTGAGGGGTGTGAAATGGGTGTGCATGACGCATGCGGGCGGTGCTACTGGAACCTTCGGTGGAGCTCCCTATCACGACACGTGTAAGGGGTGTGTCCACATGAGCGTGCGTGACGCATGCGGGCGGTGGCACTGGGATGTTCGGTGGAGCTCCCGGTGGGGCCACGAAGCGTGTGAGGGGTGTGCCGAAATGGGTGTGCATGACGCATGCGGGCGGTGGCACTGGGGCCTTCGGTGGAGCCCCCGATGGGACCACGAAACGTGTGTGGGGTGTGCCGAAATGGGTGTGCATGACGCATGCGGGCGTTGGCACTGGGGCTTTTGGTGGAGCTCCCGGTGGGGCCACGAAACGTGTGAGGGGTGTGCCGAAATGAGTGTTCGTGATTCATGCGGGCGGTGGCACTGGGGCCTTCCGTGGAGCCCCCAATGGGGCCACGAAACGTGTGACGGGGTTGCCGAAAGGGGTGTGCGTGATGCATGCGGGCGGTGGCATTGGGGCTTTCGGTGGAGCTCCCTATGGGGCCACGAAACGTGTGAGGGTTGTGCCGAAATTGGTGCGGGTGACGCATGCGGGCGGTGGCACTGGAACCTTCGGTGGAGCTCCCTATGGGGCCACGAAACGTGTGAGGGGTGCGCTGGAATTGGCGATGACGATGGTGATGGACTTGGATTGCGCTCTGATTCGCCGAGGAGACGATCAGCTTAGTGCGGCACTCACTAGCTGCTGCAATAGTGCGTACATGCAGCACGGGCGCCAAGGTTTGGTGAATCTCCCCGCCCCCGTCCTGACCTACCACCCCCCCCCCTTCATCGTCTGAAGGCGCTCAGGGCGCGTCACAACGCCGCAGGAGGAGGGAGAAGGCAAGAGGAGGCATATCAAAGAGGGGAGCAGGTGAGATGGCCTGCGAAGGGCCGAAAGCAAGCTTAGTGGGCTGGCGCAAAGCAGGGGCCTGCGGGAGTGCACGATATTCGCACGCTCGACCTGCGGCCCGTGCCTGCACCAACGCCGCAGTGCAACCCTCGTCCCCACCAACAGACCTAAACTCACCTTTAGTCCCATCCCGTCAGCGTCCCCCCCGAATCACTCCTCTCTCAAATCAAGTGGCCGGCATCGGGTCGAACAAAGAAACGACGACCTCGTCGTGGCTCCTGGCCACTCGGGAGGGGGAGGGGAGGGAGGAAGGGAGGGAAACCAAAGAAGGATAAAGCCGAGCAGGAAGAGTGGGACTGGGACGCACATCTCAAACCTCCAGCCTCGGAAGGATGGCAGCAACGAGCGTAAGGGAAGAGGCTGGGACGCAGACCGATCACCTCCGGAACGCTGTGTCCCTTGTAAATACTGGCTGCACAATTGCAGGTATGCAGGCACAGAGGGGATGATGGTGGATGAAACCGAGAAGAGAGAGTGAGACTGGGACGCAAATCCTAAACCTCCAATCTCGGAGCAACAGAAAACAAGCGGGGTCAAGGCTGGGACACATCTGACTGGCAGCCGCCATCTTCTGCACGTAGTAGCCAAAGAGTGACGACTACGTATCTGGGAATTCCAACACCATTCCCACACCAATACTCCCACTGAACTTGATCCTCCCCTCCAATCTTCCCTCACTTCACAAGCATAAGCAGCAAGTGTGTAATTACATGTCATGGAGCGCGGCGGTAAAATATGGCCGCGATAGTCACGCGGAATCAGTGCAAGCTGAGGCGTCTTCGCACACTCGCAGCGCACATAGAGATACACAGCAGCACGATTATCTCAGCAGGCGCCTCAGAGAGCCTGGCAGACCGCGCGGGAAGAACATGTCAGCGATCGCCATCATGGCAAGGCGGCCAAGGGGTGTCCCGGCGACCAGCTGCAGCTTAGAGTCGGCGTGCCTCGGCATCAGTACAGTGAAACCAGAGTCGCCGGTCGCCACGGGGACGTCCACGGACTGCTTTTGGGACAGCTCACAGAACGCGCCGTGAACCAGAATTCGCATCCAGCATGCCTCGGGGGTCCAGGGCGCGCGGGACATATAGCCCAGCAGCGCAGCGGTGGTCGCGGGATTGACGTAGTCCTTCATGGACGCGAGCATGGAACCACGGCCGTGCGAGGGCAGCGTCGGCCTCCGGCTCGCGAGGTGCTCCGTGCTGGCATCCGCCATGAGGCCGGCTGGGTCCCAGTTCCTCGCGCCCTCCTCGCGCACCTCGGCCGGTGACGACCTCGCAGCTGGTAGCGGGGTAGGGCCCGTAGGCAGCCGCGCCGCCTCCCCCTGGCCCCGAGAGGGGACGCTGGGGGGGAGGGGCGTGTCCATCTCCGCTCTCGGAGCTGGAAGCGAGGTGGGGCCCGTAGGGTGCCTCGCCGCCTCCTCCTGGACCCGACAGCGGACGCGGGGGGGGGGGGGGGGGACTTGCCCTCCTCCGCCGTGCGGCCATCACACCCAGCGGCCTCAGCACCGGCAGCGGCATCACGGTCTACCGCCACGCGCTGCCAATAACGGCGCAAGGCAGCCCCACGGTCTGGCATGGGGAGCAACATCGCCGCCGCCGTCAGCTTGCCCCCTGTCACGAGCAGCGCGCCTGCATCGGAGACCACGGCGTAGCGGTCCACGGCAGCCGGAAGGTCCTCCGGCGCGGGGCGAGTCCGCATGTGCACCCTCTGCATCGCCATCGGCCGAAGGAGAGCAGACGTAGGTGGCGCAGCCTCACTAGGATCCTGGGGCCGCCGCTGCTCAGCAGTCATGCCGAGCTCCACTGCGGCCGCGGTGCTCAGGGAGGAGTGGGAGTCGGCGCTGGCGTGGTTTTCGGCACTACCGTGGTGCTCGCTCTGCAACTCCACGCCGGTGATCAGGTCAGCCAGCAGCGCCTCGGGAGGGCCAGCACTGGCTGGACGTGCAGCAAGGCGGGCACGAGGCAGAGCATGATCTGCATCATCACTAGCAGGAACACGCAGGGCAGGGACGGCACGAGGGAGAGCACGAGTGCGAGCCACACCAGCGGCTTTCAGCCTGGCGTTCCTCTGCGGTCAGGCGTGCCGTATCAGCCTCGCGCTCAGCCACTGCTAAGCGCCCGGCCCCAGCCTGTCGCGAAGCACCGGCCCGGCGCTTCGGCCAAGCAGCGCGGTATGGTGTCACCGGGCACGTTGTCACCAGGGGGCCGGCAGTGGCAGCGGCTCGCGACCGTGCCGCCAGAGAAAAAACTAAGGGGCTGGATCGCGAGCGCAAGCCAACCAGCCTCGGCGACCACTACGGCGCAGCTGGTGCCATCGTCTTGGCGCCCAAGCCAGCCAGACCTGGCGCAGGGCTGGCAGGCGGCAGCGGCGGCACCCGTACACCCACAGCCTCAGGCGCCTCCACGTGCGCCACGAGCTCCGGCAGCAGGATGTCCACGGGCGACACGACGAGGCCTGGGGGAGGGGGGCAACACCCCATCAGTTTGCGCACGTCCATCGCCTGCACTTGCGCATGCCCGACGGCGACCCTGTGGCGACGTCTGCCCGCAGCGGAGGCCACACCAGCTGGGCGGCACAACATGGGACAGGACATCAGCAGGTAGCCAGCCGCCGCGAGCAGCGCGAGAGGCACGCCAGGAGCAGGCCCGTCGCGGGCAGCGCGAGCGGTGGCGCGGCGGGGCCCGCACGCCCGATGCGCGGGCGCGGACCGGCGCGCGTGGCTGCCCGCCCAAAGAGAGGTTCGCCGTACCTGGTACGGCGCCGAAGCCTCTCGAACCGGGGCGGCAGCTGATGGTGATGGCGGAGGGAGGGGGAGGGGGAGGAGGTGTCTTCAAAACGAGGATCCAGCACCACAGGATGGTTGGGACAAACGGGCAAGCGGTCGACGGCACCTCGGGGGGATGCATCGGCCCCCACTCGCCTTTTGGTCGCCGATAAGGGGCCAGGTACAGTCGACCCGCAGAGTAAGGAGAGGCATCCCTCCCAAGAGTACCCTTGCATCCTTGCTTCCTGGGTCCATCCTTGGACACATTCGTTGGCCGCATCCCGCATCCTTACTCTGCGGGTTGACTGTAGCGCACCCTGCCCAGGGACGCGAGGTTCCGTTATTGGGGGTCCTATCGCCGATGTATCGGCGGTGTATCGCCGATGCCAGGTGGATACTCCCCCCCCTGTGCAAGTCCCCCCCTGTCGCTGCCCCTCCTCACAAGCACAGCTCCAGGAGTCGACACCAAGGAGACCCAGACCCCCTCGAATCGTAAAGCGTTCGTGGTCGTTTTTGTGCATTTTCAGCTTCTGGGGGCCCTCGCTGGGCCCCAGGACTGTCAACAATTACTTGGGAAGAACAATTCGTTCGCCCTGGGCGTCATCACGGATGTGTTCGCAAGGTTTCCGCCGGCTTTCGGAGGTTATCAAGATTTTGGATTATTCCCATCAGTTGCGCCTCGAACGGACGGTCATTTGAGGCCCGAGTTATCGCCCGAAAGCATTCGTGTGGCGGCAGTCAACATCGAGGCGGCCTTCAGCGTATTGTTCGGCCGCTCTGGGCCTTCCAAGGCACGGCTGGATCCGCCTCGAAGAATGGGCCAGGATGGCCCCCGAGAGAGGCGAGGGGACTGAAACTGTGCGGATCTGGGCTGGGCGGGAGAGCCGCCGTCGTCTCAACTGCCCCCCCCCCCGACGGGAGCAAAACCCCCGTGCCAGGCGGGGCCACCAGCTTGAGGGGATCTCCACCACCTCCCCCTGGAAGTCGAGGGTCAAGGATCGAGGAGGTTTGGAACGGTTGCCGGGTGCCGTTGGGAGTCCTGGGGGGTCAAGGGGGATCCAGGGGGGTCCCGCCTCGTGGAGAACGGGACGACCCCCCTCAGTAGGGACCCCCCCCCTTTGTGCCTCTGCCTTGGAGCTCCTCCTGGAGTCGGCACGAACGGCATCGGGTCCTGGTCCTGGTCCTGGAGGAGACCGACGAAGCACACACACACACCTTTACAGCACAGCGGCGCAGAGACCCCGCGCAGCAGCGCTGCACGAGAAGACGCGCGACACGGCACGGCACGGCACGCGCACCGCGGGCCCAGCCCGCCGCGGCACCGCGGGCGGCACGTGCTTCTCGCTCGCAGAACAGCTGCACGGGCGCACGGCACGGCCACGGCGCGGCGGCACGCTGCCGCGTTCCCCTGGGCGCGGGCGTCGCCCCGGCGCGCGGGCGTGTCGCCTCCCAGAGCGCGGGCACGCGGCACGCCACGGCACCGCGGGCGGGCGGCGCCTCCTCCGCAGTCCTGGGGCGCGGGCACGCTGCAGGGCACGGCGCGCGGGCGTTCACTGGCCTGCGCACGGCACGGGGCGCGGGCGCGGCACGGCACGGCGCGGCACCGCACGGCGCGGCGCGGCGCGGGAGCGTGCAAGGGGATCTCGAGAACGCGGGGGGCGCTCTCGTTCCGCTTTCACTTGGCATCGCTCGGACGTGTGCGTTTCTTCCTCGGCGAGGACCATCGAGGAGCATCCTGGACCATTTGGCGAAAAAAACCAAGCACGAAACTGACAAAAACACGGGGAATGGACGTCCGAGCGATGGCGAGTTCACGATCCACATGCTCTTTCAGTTTGGGGGCACCGTTCTGTAACGCTTTCGGGTCCAGGATCGGCCCGTGGCCCACCTGCTAGTTTTCTTCAAGTGTTGTTGCAAACAACTCTTGCTAGGTTTCTCTTGCTAGGTTTCTTTGTTTTTTTGTATCGTCTGCATCTGATTTTTCAGAAATTAAAGAAAAGGTGTTCGATGCGCTTCTTGGCAGCACAATGCCGACTGCCGAATGCCTGACGTCCGCATTCGGGGTGTCGTTTTTAACACGGTCTTGGTTGAGTCACAAGCAAAAAATGGAAAGCGAAAAGAATACCCCCGTAAGAACAACTAAGCGCGGGCGGCCTTATTTCATCACCTTCTGGAACTCGGGCACGCCACGGCAGGGGTCACGGCACGGGTCGGCACGCGGGCGTCGCTTGCTTTGTTGTCCATCCGGTTGGTCTCGACCGAGCTCGCCACCGTGCTTGAGCAGCAGCGTAACGGGAAGGAGCCTGCGTGTTTGAAGCTTCACGTATCCCCGCCAACCCATAGGAACGAGGCCTAGTGGAGTTGCCCTTCTCGGGGGAGTGTGGCATCAGTCGGAAATCTCGGGGAACCTCCGTGGGCCAGAGGCTTCTTGGAGACCTCTTGGAGTCTCTTGGGATGTCTCTCCGGGTCTCTTGGAGGCCTTGGTTTTTTTCACGGCGCGAGGGGGGTCTCCCTGTTTTGTCATGTTACAGGGCCGTTCCGCCCGTAGGTTCAGCCGCGCCGCTGCACAGGCGCGCGTGCGCGCACGGCCCCTCCCGCATTTGCAGCACGGGGAGCCTGGATGCGCACGGCTCCAGCACCTCCGCGCTCCACCGGCTGGCCCCCGCGGCTCTCAACAACAACCGAGTCGGGCCCAGACGTCCAGCCAGGATGCTCAGCGTCCTGGAGCATCCAGGATGCTCAGCATCCTGGATGCTCAGCATCCAGGATGCTCAACAGCAACCGAGAAGGGCCCAGAGAGAGAGCGCTCTGCAGAAGTGGGGTGAGCACCGCAGGCGGCCGAGCAGCAGGGCCAAGGGCAAGCGGAGACGGCCCCAGCCCAGTTAAACAGTCCCCTCCTTCTCCTCCTCGTCTCCTCCTCCTCCTCCTCCTCCTCCTCCTCCTCCTCCTCCTCCTCCTCCTCCTCCTCCTCCTCCTCCCCTCCCTTCCTCCTCCTCCTCCTCCTCCTCCTCCTCCTCCCCTCCTCCTCCTCCTCCTCCTCCTCCCCTCCTCCTCCCCCCCTCCTCCTCCTCCTCCTCCGCCTCCTCCTCCTCCTCCTCCTCCTCCTGCTGCGGGGGTCTCCCCCCCATCTTCCTATACGGCGGCGGCGGCGACCGGCCCAGGCCGGTGTCCTCCAGGCCGTGGCCGAGGCCAACCCGGACCTGGCTGGCCTCGAGGCCGCGCTCGGGCGGCAGCTGGGCCGGCTCTACAGGACGGTTGCCAGGAGGAGGAGGAGGAGGAGGAGGAGGAGGAGGAGGAAGAGGAGGGGGAGAGGGATGAGGATGATGATGATGATGATGATGATGATGATGATGATGATGATGATGATGATGATGATGATGATGATGATGATGATGATGATGATGATGGTGGTGGTGGTGGTGGGGTGGTGGTGGTGGGTGATGATGATGATGATGATGATGGTGGGTGGTGTGGTGGTGTGGTGGTGGTGATGAGATGATGATGATGATGATGATGAGATGATGATGATGATGATGATGATGATGGATGATGAGGAGGAGGAGGAGGAGGAGGAGGAGGAGGAGGAGGAGGAGGAGCAGGATGACCCCGAGATCCTGGCGTTTCAATTTTGTTCGAGCTGGGCGCGTTCGTCTTCTTCAAGCCCCGGAACCCTCACAGGTCGATCCAGCTCGAACCATGACGCAGGAACGAGCGTGATTTTCCGATGTTGCAATTGTTCGCTGCGTCGGATCTCAGGGGAGGAGGAGGAGGAAGAGGAGGAGGAGGAGGAGGAGGAGGAGGAGGAGGAAGCCTCCTCCTCCTCCTCCTCCTCCCCCTCTCTCTTCTATTTCCCACCGCCTGCCTCATTGTTCGTTCTACCCTCCGCCCTCCCTCCTGCTTTCCCCCCCCCTCCGCCCCCTCCCTTCCCCGGCCGGGCAGCAGCCAGGAGCGGCCGCCTGCGCCGCGCCGACGCCTCCGCCCCGTGGGCAGCCCTGCCGGCGGCGGGGCGGCAGGAGGTCTTCCGGCTGCTCCTGGAGGAGCCCCCTTCCCAGACCTCCCTCGGGCCCCCAGACACCATCGCGGCGGAACAAAACACACAGGACGGCTGACTTTTGCTATTTTCGGCCTCGGGGGGCCCTCGCTGGGCCCCTGGAGCGTCACAAAACGGCTCAGGATGCAAAGCGGGCCCCGGGGACCGGGGACCCCGCATGGAAAAAAGCAAGACGTCGCCCGTCTGGCCATCCCCTAGAGATCCGAGGAGATGATTTTTTGAAACCGGCTTTTTTTTCTTGGATTTCGGCCTCCGGGGCCCGTTCTCGGGCCGGGGGGGGGCCGTCAAACACTGACATCCGCAACGAAAAAACACCCCCTGGGAGGGGTCGGGACCTCTGGGGCCGCGGATTGAAAGAATCGTATCGGCGGACCCAGACTTCCAACGTATTGAAATTACCCTGTGACGTACCCAACCCATTTGTATCATGGGAAACGAGGAGTTGGCCGAAACTTGCATGGACAATCGAATTGCAGGATCCGTTGTTTGATATGTAAGCTACTTGGGACACGCGAGTATGGCATGATGCGCAGGAGAACCATACAAGAAAGAGGGGCAACAGCTACAGGCTCGAAGAGGACATGGGGAGTCGGGAAAGAAGAGCAGGAGAGAAACGTGCGGGAAGCCCACTGTGCTGGGCCCCCCAGCAGGCCTCGAAAGTGGCGACAATTTCGCAGATCGCAGCCCCCCAGGGATGGCGAGGTCCCATTTGAATTTGCGGTGGGTACCCACTGTGCTGGGCCCCCTAGCAGGCTTCGAAAGTGGCGACAGTTTCACAGATCGCAGCACCCCAGGGATGGCGAGGTCCCATTTGAGTTTGCGGTGGGTACCCACTGTGCTGGGCCCCCCAGCAGGCTTCGAAAGTGGCGACAGTTTCACAGATCGCAGCCCCCCAGGGATGGCGAGGTCCCATGTGAATCTGCGGTGGGTACCCACTGTGCTGGGCCCCCCAGCAGGCTTCGAAAGTGGCGACAGTTTCACAGATCGCAGCCCCCCAGGGATGGCGAGGTCCCATGTGAGTCTGCGGTGGGTACCCACTGTGCTGGGCCCCCCAGCAGGCCTCGAAAGTGGCGACAGCGTCACAGATCGCAGCCCCCCAGGGATGGCGAGGTCCCATTTGAGTCTGCGGTAGGTACCCACTGTGCTGGGCCCCCCAGCAGGCCTCGAAAGTGGCGACAATTTCGCAGATCGCAGCCCCCCAGGGATGGCGAGATCCCATCTGAGTCTGCGGTGGGTAACCGTGCTGGGTCCCCCAGCAGGCCTCGAAAGTGGCGATAGTTTCACAGATCGCAGCCCCCCAGGGATGGCGAGGTCCCATGTGAGTTTGCGGTGGGTACCCGCTGTGCTGGGCCCCCTAGCAGGCCTCGAAAGTGGCGACAGTTTCACAGATCGCAGCCCCCCAGGGATGGCGAGGTCTCATTTGAGTCTGCGGTGGGTACCCACTGTGCTGGCCCCCCCAGCAGGCCTCGAAAGTGGCGACAGTTTCACAGACCGCAGCCCCCCAGGGATGGCGAGGTCCCATTTGAGTTTGCGGTGGGTGCCCACTGTGCTGGGCCCCCCAGCAGGCTTCGAAAGTGGCGACAGTTTCACAGATCGCAGTCCCCCAGGGATGGCGAGGTCCCATTTGAGTTTGCGGTGGGTACCCACTGTGCTGGGTCCCCCAGCAGGCTTCGAAAGTGGCGACAGTTTCACAGATCGCAGCCCCCCAGGGATGGCGAGGTCCCATTTGAGTTTGCGGTGGGTACCCACTGTGCTGGGCCCCCCAGCAGGCGTCGAATGTGGCGACAGTTTCACAGATCGCAGCCCCCCAGGGATGGCGAAGAGCGAGGTAAAAGGCAGGGGGAATAGAGGGACGGGAAGGAAGGAAGGAGACGCGCGAGCAGTGCTCTATTTAAAACGAGAACCCAATGCAGGAGGGTTGGGAAAAATCAAGACGAAGTTTTTTTTCGATGTTCGGCCTCTAGGGGCCATCGCCGGGCCCGGGGACCGTCAAAAAACGACTCAAGATGAGAAACCGGTCCTGGGGAATGGGTCGAGATTTCGGGGGACTGCATATTGAAAAAATCACGGCGTCGGATCTCTGGGGATGCCATGGGTCCTGTCGAAACCACGACGGAGGGCGTTAACCTTCATTTTCGGTTCTCTGGCGGCCCTGGCTGGTCGGGCCTCGGGACCGTCCGAGAGATCGGTTCTGGATGGAGCGCCCGTCCTGGGGAGTGGGTCGGGACCTCTGGGGCTCTGGGGGCCGACGTCGTCGAACAAATCATGTCGTCGGGGGTCCAGGACTCCAGGAGGAGGGCGGGGGGGACGGAGGGTGTGGATTGGGGAAGGGGGGAGGGCGCATAGACTCGATTCGCCCGCGTCTCGAGGCGCCCAGTGCTCGATTCGCCCAGTGCTCGAGTCGCCCAGTGCGCGAATCGCCGGCGGGGCTCGGATCTGCCCGGCTCGAGCCGCCCAGCTCGATCCGCCCAGGCTCCGTTCGCCCGAGTCTCGATTCGCCGGCCTCCGCCCGCCCTATAACCGACCTGGCCGTCAGGGTCCGCCCGCCCGACGCGATCCGCCCGTCAGGGCCCGCCCGCCCCACGCGATCCGCCCGTTAAGGCTCGCGCGTGATAGCTCAAAGATGCGTCATACTTCGATGTCCCGCCAGCCCAACCCGACTCGCCCGTTGGCGTCTGCACGCCCGACGTGACCCCCTCCTCCTCCTCCTCCTCCTCCTCCTCCTCCTCCTCCTCCTCCTCCTCCTCCTCCTCCTCCTCCTCCTCCTCTGGATCCTCCACGTACACGGCGAAGCGAGCCCCAGCGAAGCGAGCCCCGGCGAAGCGAGCCTGGGCGAACCGAGACTCAGCGAACCGAGTTAGGCGAACGGAGTCCCCGCGAACCGAGCTGGGCGACTCGAGTCTTGCGAACCAAAACCCGGCGAAGCGAGCCCCGGCGAACCAAGCCATGACGAGACGAGCCCCAGTGAACAGAGACCCAGCGAACCAAGACTCCGGCGAACCGAGTCCGTGTTGGGAGGAGGAGGAGGAGGAGGAGGACGAGGACGAGGACGAGGACGAGGACGAGGACGAGGACGAAGACGAGGAGGAGGAGGAGGAGGAGGAGGAGGAGGCGGAGGGCGGGAGGAGGCGGCAGGAGAAGTCGACAGCCCAGGTTGCCGGCTGCGCCAGGCTGTTCCCGCAGCCATTGCAGGAGGAGGGAGGTGAGGAGGGAGGGAGGGAGGAAGGCGGGGGTAAGCACGACCACGACGGGATATCATCTTGGGTCGGATATGGAGACTAGCATCCAATATCATACCTCTCCTCCGCTCCTCCTCCTCCTCCTCCTCCTCCTTCTCCTCCTCCTCAGGTTCCAGGAGGCCCCTGGAGGCACCACGAGGCCCCAGGAGGTCCGAAGAGGTCCAGGGGGCCGCAAGATGATGTCCCATTCTGGTCGCTCGCACGGGGGGTGGGAGGAGTGGGAGGGAGGGAGGGAGGGAGGGAGGGAGGGGGGGAGGGAGGAGCAGGAGGACGAAATGCGCATCCAACTTAGGCGGGTGTGCCCCTGTGTGCGTTGGCCCCTGCCAGTCGGCAGGACGGCGCCATGGTGTCCTGGTAGTGTTTTCTTCTCCTGGGTATGTTGCTGCCGCTGCTCTTGGTATTCACCTTATGTTCTTCTCGCCTCATCTCTCCATGTGCGCATCGACCCACCTACGCGGAGGAAGAAGAAGAAGAAGAAGAAGAAGAAGAATAAGAAGAGACGCGTATGGCCCGAGCAATTGGGACCGCTTGGCCCGGCCCCAGACGTGCTTGTCCATTGTGGTGAGCCATGCCAGCGCCCCCCCCCCCCCCCAGCGATTGCAGCTTCTTGGCAGGCCACGGCGAGGCCGTTGGAAACGGCTTGGCATCACAGCGAGCGCGCAATGAGGTCGCGCGGAGTTTTCGTACTCTTGCATCAGGCGCACGTACTGTCGGGGTCCTGAAGAAGGAACCCTTTTCGTTTGGGAGGGGCTCCGCGTTCCTTACGTGTTTCGCAGTTTGCCTCAGGTGTTCATTATATTTCCGATGGGAAATCGAAGTTTGACCCATGGAAAAAACGGGCCTCGTTCCTTATTTTCGGTTCCTTAGGTCAAAGCCCCCGACCGTAGTGGCACTTCCTCGTGGAGTCCTACTTGCGACTGCTAGAACTGTGGGGCGATCTGTCAAGCCCCGCCCACCCCCCCAGGAGGTGCAGAGGAGGCTCGGCGAGGCCGCCTGAGGAGCGGGGCCCCTCTCGGGAGGGGGGGTGGAGAGGGAGGGGACAACGAGGGGGCCCAGACATCCGCCGCCTCGAACAAGGATAGAAGTGCACAGTTCGTCGCCATGCGTGGCCTCCGGAGAGGCCCGTTTCGGGGTTTCGGGTCTCGGGGCAGGCAACTGACAGCTGGGGATGAAGTAGACGGGCGCAAGGGGAAGTGGTCGAGAGTTCCAGGGGCCCACGCATCGAAGCAGTGGAAGCTCCGGATGTTTCGGGATCGTGGAGGGGAGGAGAGAGGGCGAGAGAGAGGAGAATGCGTGCAACCTTGCCAAGGGTACAGTTGGACCGAAGAAGAGGGTCGAGGTCGGTTCGGGGAGGTGCCCTCATGCTCTTCGTGCCTGCGGGATGTTCTGGTGCATCCTGTGGGAGGGCACCCTCGAGTGTTGTTCGAGTTGTCCTGTGGAGGGCCTCACGTTCTTGAAGAATGTTCTCATGTCCCAGGTCCGGCTGCAGGGCGCGTGGATTAGCGACGGGCCCCGCTGCCGTGCGTGCTCGACGCGCGCAGTCGCCAATTGCACGCGACGCCGGCTGCGTGCTTCGGGGGGGGCGGCGGTGCTTTCCGCCCGCGCCCACGCGCCGGATCCACGGATCCGTGGTCCGTGCCAGCGGGCACCCTGCGCCGTGAGCGTGGCGCTCCTCGGCACGGAGCCGGGGCGGAGTCGGGCGCGAGGGTCTCGTGCCCTGGAGGGCTGCTCTGCTGTCCCGGCAGGTCC